AAAAATATATATCATGATTTTGATAGGAATTGGCATTGAATACATAAATCACTCGCAATAGTATTGACATCTTAAAAATGTCAAGTCTTTTAATCTGTGAACATGGGCTGTGTTTCCATTTATGTCTTTAATTTCAGCAATATTTTTTTAGTTTTCATTGTACAAGTCTTTCACTTCCTTGTTAATTTCAAAGTATTCTTACTTTGAACAATTTTAAATAGAATTATTTTCATTATCTATATATATAAAAGCCAAATGACCAGAACGACTGGTTGTTATGACACGCACTGTGATGGCCAGCTGGCCTGATCTGGGCCCTGATTGTGTCCCCCACCCACCCACCCAGCCAGCCAACCTCCCACAGCCCCTTCCCCGCTGGCCCAGCCCCGATGGGCCCCCATCAAGGCGGCTGGCCAGACTCCACCCGGGCTTGAATCCATGCACTGGGCCTCTAGTTTCCTTATTAGGTTATTCATTGTCTGTTTATAGAAACATAACTGACTTTAGTAATTGACTTAGTATCCTGCTACTTTGCTGAATTCAATTATTAGATCTGATACTTTGTTCTGAAATCTTTGGGATTTTCTACATCCTAGATCATATGTAAAGATAGAACTACTTTTTCTTTTCAAATATGTATGGCTTTTATGTCTTGTTTGCTGCATTGCTCTGGCTAGAATGTTCAGTACTCTATTGAACAGAAGTGAAAAGCATCCTTCTTTGTCTTGTTCCTAATCTAGAGGAAAAACTTGTACCACTGAGTATGATGTTTGCAGTGGGTTTTTCACATGTGGCTGTTTTTGTGGAGGTGATTTCCTTCTGTTCCTGTTCTGTTGAGTGTTTTTTTCAGGAAAGATATTGAATTTTGTCAGATGCTTTTTCTTTTGATCATCAGTTGAAATGATTATGTGCTGTTTTTTCCCTTCATCATGTTGATGCGGTATATCAATATTACATTAATCGATTTTTATTTCAACCATCAGTGATTAGAATTTGAGGAAAATTGGTATTCTTCTCCAACTAAGAATTTGGTGAATTAGAAGACATCAGGTACAGAATTCTTTTGTATTGGGAGATTTTTTTTATATTAATAATTCAATCCCCTTACTAGTTACAGGTCTCAGATTTTCTGCTTGTGATTTAATCGTGGTAGGTTTTGTTTCTAGGAATTTGTGTTTTTTTTCTAGGTTATCCAATTGGTTTGTATAATTGTTAATAATGCATTGTTAACTTTTTCCCCTATGGAATCAGTAAGCTCCCCACTTTCATTTCTGATTTTTTTAATTTGAGTTCTTTTTCTTATTAGTCCCTCTAGCTCCAGATTTGTCAATTTCTTTGACCTTTTTTGAAGAATCAACTTTCAGTTTGATTTTTTCCCCTCCCATTTAGGTCTGCACTAATCTTTATTATTTCCTTCCTTCTGCTAGCTTTGGGTTTAGTTTGTTTTTCCCAGTTCTTTAAGGTGGACTTTTAGGTTATTGATTTAAGATCTTTTTGTAAGGTAGGTATCTGCAACTAATAATTTCTTTCTGAGCATTGTCTTGTTGCGTCTCTTAAATTTTAGTATATTGTGTTTTCTAATTTTCCTTGTGATTTCTTTGATACATTCGTTGTTTAAAAATGTATATTTAATTTGCATAGTTTTGTGACTTTTCAAGTTTTGCTTTTTGATTGCTTGCTTGTTCTATTATGGTCCGAGAAGATACCTTGCAGGATGTGAAACTTAATCGGTAGGCTGACATGTGGTCCGTCCCGGACGACGTCCCCTGTGCACTTGAGAAGGACGTGTGCTCTAGCTGGGGAGGCTTCTGTAAGAGTCCTCCAGGCCTAGCTTATTGTGCTGAGTCCCCTTCTCCTTATTCTCTGTCCGGTCGTTCCAGCCGTCATTGTGAGGGATGTTGAAGTCTCAGCTGCTTATTATGGCAGAACTGTTTCTCCATTCAGTTCTCTCAGTTTTTGCTTTATATATCTTGATGGTCTTTGATTAGGTACATAAATGTTTATATTAATAAAAGATTCAATACAGCAAATAAAAAACAACACAATTATATAGTACATCTCTTTTGTAAGCTTTTTAAATATTTAAAGTCAATTTTGCTTGATATTAGTACAGCCACCTGCTCTCTTTTGATCACTATTTGCATGGAACATCTTCCCCGCCTGTTTGTATCTTCCTGTCTCAGGTGAGACTCCCTTAGGCGGCATATAGCTGGGTCCTGTGTTTTTATCCATTCTGCCAATATGTGCCTTTTGGTTGGAGAGTTGAATCCATGTAACTCAAAGCGATTACTGATAGGGGAATGTCTATCATTGTGTTTATTTTCAATACTCCCTATACCTTTTTATCCTTGATTTCCTGTCTTTCGTTTTTTGTTTTGTTTTTGTTTTTGTAGTGAAATGTTTAAATTTCTTTCCTTTGTGTATATTCTATAGCTCTTTGTGGTTACATCACTATGGGGATTACACATAACATCCTCAAGTTATAACTCTAATATGAATTTATTCAGCTTCACTTCAATCACACATAAAAACTGCTCCTATATAGCTCTGTTCCCACCCTTCAGGTTGTTAATGTCACAGAATTACAGAAATCTCTGTACATTGTGTCCCCAAAACACAGCTCTTTTAACTGCATTAATCTCCTGAACTATGTAGAAAATAATATTTAGAGTTACAAAATGTACAGTAATACACTTTTAAAAATGTATTAGTCTTTTAATCATCTAGAAAACAAAATGTACAGTTACAAGCCATTGATGCAATAGCACTAGCTTTTTTTAATTTTATTTTTTTTAATTGATTTTTTACAGAGGGGAAGGGAGAGAGATAGAGAGCTAGAAACGTCGATGAGAGAGAAACATCGACCAGCTGCCTCCTGCACTCCCCCTACCGGGGATGTGCCCGCAACCAACGTACGTGCCCTTGACGGGAATCGAACCCGGGATCTTTCAGTCCGCAGACCGACGCTCTACCACCGAGCCAAACCGGTTTTGGCAGCACTAGCTTTTACACTTGTTCAGGAGTAACCCTCACTGAGATCTTTGGAACTTCCTCAGCTTTTGTTTATCTGGGAATTTTAAATTTTCTTTAACTTTGAAGGACAATTTTTCTGAATATATGGTTCTCTGTTTACAGTTTTATCTTTTAGCATCCTTATTCTATCAGTCCACTATCTTCTGGCCTCCAAAGTTTCTAGTGAGAATTCTGATCATATATTGATGATCCTTGACATGTGCCAGTTTTCTTCTCTAGCTGCTTTCATGATGCTCTTTATTTGTTTAATTTTTATTTGATTTTAGAAGAAACATTGATTTGTTGCTTCACTTATTTATGCATTCATTGGTTGATTCTTGTATGTGCCCTGACCGGGGATTGAACCCATAACCTTGGCTTATCAGGATGACTGCCCTGCTAGGGAAGTTCATGATTCTCTTAACTTTGGCCTTTGAAGGTGTTGTGATGATGTGTATTGGTGTGGGTCTCTTGGCCCTTGACCAGAATCGAACCTGAGACCTTTCAGACCGCAGACCGACGCTCTATCCACTGAGCCAAACTGGTTTCGGCTTTATTACTTAATTTTATTGTTAGTGTTTAATCCTCAGCCAAGAACATATTTAAAAAGAGGGAGTGGGAGAGAGGGAAACATGGATTGGTTACCTTCCCTACACTCCCCACCTGGGAATCAAACCTGCAACCCAGGTATGCGCCCTGACCAGGAATCAAACCTTTCAGTACACAGTTGATGTTCAAACATCTGAGCCATTCTAGGTGGGCCTTCCTTCTACTTTTTAATTTCCATTGTCCTGTCTTGTGCCTGCTAGGATCTGCTTTTGAATTTCTCTAGTGAATTTTTCCACTTCGGTACATAGACTCTTCAGCTCCACATTTTTTTTTAATTGATAGTTCAATTTTGTTCACACATCTTGACTTTCTCCACATGTTCCTTTAGTTCTGTGAGCATCTTTAATAAAGTATTTGACTAGTATATCTGCCATTAGGCCTTTTTTATGGACAGTTTCTGTTGACTTTTTCCTTTGAATGGGTTATACATCTCCGTTTGTACTCCTTGTGATTCCTTATTGAACACTGGGCATTTGAATCTAATAATATGGTAACTCTGTAATTCTTTTTCTCCCTCTTTTCAGGATCTGTTGTTGGCTATGCCAAGAATCAGCCTGATGTGTAAACTAAGTATCTTTTCTGAGTCTCTTGTAGGGCATGCACATCATTAATATTCATTGTCTGTGCAGTTGGTTTTGAATGCCCTAATCTTTAATTTCTGGCTGCCCAGAAGGGGAAATTAAAGGGTACTGGACCTTTAACTTTCCTGGGAGTTATTTCAGTTGGAGAGAGGGGGCTCGTGACAATGAGAGAAACATCATCGACCTCCCCTCGGTCTGTACCGCTGTGATCAGAGTGACAGTCAGCGTAGGTCTCGCTGTTGGGAGGACAGGCCCTCTTTCTCCGCCCCAGTCTCACAGCTGCTCCAGGAGCACGGACACAGCTGCCTGCGTCATGGGGGGCGGCTGCTCCTCTGCCGGGAGCAGACATTGATCAAAATTAACCACAACGTGCTGTCCAAGTCTTCCCCTGGAAGTTGGCAAGCCTTCAATAAATTCCAGAGCTCCACGGTAGTCACCTTCCTGCAGATTCTGCCAGTGCAGTTGTTGTCAAGGTGGGGAGACAGGTTCCTGTTCTTTCATTTGCTCAGAGTCCTCTCCAGCCCTTTGTGAGGAAATATAAATGTCTGTGTGCTGATGGTAATGACCCAGTAGAGAAAACAAGCTGTTGTGCAGGTAAGCCTGAATTTGTTAAGTCATCCCATTGTTTCTTGCCATTCTGCTCAGTACATAAAACATATTCCGATATTCTTGGCAGTGATGTGAGTTTCAGGTTGAGCCAAAAAGATCTTTAAAATCACGACGTCAAAAGTCTGTAATATTCACCAGTGTCCTGTGTATTGAACCTCCAGTTTAACTCCGCCATGGTTTCTCCTGCAGTGCTACAACTGCGAGGAGGAGGCCATGTACCACTGCTGCTGGAACACCTCCTACTGCTCCATCAAGTGCCAGCAGGAGCACTGGCACGCCGAGCACAAGCGCACCTGCCGCCGGAAAAGATGAAGGCGGTGCCCGTGAGGCGCCGGCGACTGCTCTTCTCAGACACAACGGTTTTTGTTTCCCAGAAGCCAAACTTGTTTAGAATTTGCTTCCCATTTGCACCAGCCTTTAAACACTTTTCGTGAAGAGGTTTTGCACAGTTTAAATCTTTTGTTAATGTCCCTCTGAAATTTTTCGGGGGTAAAAGTAACATCAGTGGAGGGTATTATTTTAAATAAAATTTAATTGAGAATTTGTTGCATTTACAGCAAATTTTAAAACATTTTTAGGTTTTACAGAGATTTTAACCTTTAAACAACAGATCTTTAAAAAAACAACTGGTGAACACTGAGTTTAACAAACCTTGAAAATAGATCTGAATGTAAGAACTACAGGACTGTTTCAGAAATAAAACATACTACCTTGATGTGAAATTTATTTCTTAACCTTGTTGAGCTGGTTTTGTTCAGCTTAATTTACTGTTTAAGGCATTATCTATTGGTTATGCCAGTGGGTATATGATTGAATTTAGGGAACAGGGTTGACACAGCAGGTGCTAGTCCTGCATATTTTTTCTTAAATATTTCCCAATTGTGTTTTTCATTTTCTTTTCAATATATAACTTTTATAACAAATTATTAGCTTTGATCTCGTAGTTTAAAATTGCAGGGAACTGGGTAATCTTTTACTGAGCTGGATCTTAGAGAAAATGAATATTTAAATTTTAAAGTTTGCACATTTCATCTTTATCCTAACACGAGTGCTTGTAACAAAATAAACAACAAAAATAAGCCAAAAACTACCTTAATCCATACATGAAATTACAGATGGGGCATACAAATTTATTTACTGCTTCCCTCCCCTCCCCAAATATCGATTGCCTATTATCTGGTGTCACCTCATATATTATAAGTTAATGCTAAAAGGAAAGAAAGCACTTAAGTTTCACAGAAGCCGTTATGTTTGTGGTAATGGGTCATTGCCTACTAATGAACCCCATCACTGTACACAGAATGAAGAATAATGCATGTTAATTTTCTTGTATTAAAGATGCCGTGGTTTGTAAAAAGTCTGTATTTTGCGGAATGTCTGGATGAAGAAGCATTACCAATAGGAATGGATCGATAGTTGAATGATTTTTTTTATACATATATAAAATACAGCCAGAAAAACTGAAATTACTTTTTTTTTTTTTAAGAAAAAAAAATCTCACAATTTATGTTTTTTCAAAGTCTGAGCTTAGACCAAGTCAAATTCCCATTTATCATTTAGTTATTTTTTAAGGTTAGAGAAATGATTTGTAAATATTTATTTAGACCTTTGATATTTATTAAAGCAATTACACACAATGGAAGTGAAAGAATCAGGAGAAAAACCTTTTAAAAAGTTTTCTCTAGGTTTGTCAGGGTCACTCTAAAAATGTAACCAAGGCTTTTGTGAAATAATCATTCACCCAGTCCTGGTGCTGCTGCAAATGGCAGTGACACAAATTAATTGACAAGCTGCTGCCCCGTGGTGCCCAACGGCTCGTAGGAACTGCCTGGCACCGGCTCCACACCGCCCCGACCTGCGCAGTGGTTGCATCTCGTCCTTCCTTGTTGCTGTGATTAGTGTTGCCACGTGCCGTGGTCTGGTTGAGACATTGTAACCAAGAACACTTACCTTCTCTTGATCGTTTTTCAAGTTTTAAAACTTCGATCCACCCCTATGAGAGCAAGTTATTGTGGAAATACTTTCAATGTAAACCATTCCAGAGTGTGTACTATTTACTGATAGCTGCATGGACGTAAGATTCGTGTTACTTTGGCTTTTTTTTTTGTCTCCGTTGACACGGTTGCACATTTCCAAGTTACTACAGCGTGAAAACTGTGTGTAAAAAAAAAAATTTAAAGAGGTTGTGGCCTGGTTTTGTAAAAGTTTTAGGTAAAATTACAATTGATTGTTTTAGGAATCATTATTAAAATATTTCTGCAAATCATAAAGCCTATATCAAGATGTTGAGCTTAGCCACTATGCACATTGTAATTATTCATTGTGGCTGTCCAGTTCTATGATGCATTCTGGCATTTTGTAAGCTGCTCTGACTAGCAATATATAGATTCATTTAATGTGTTAACATTGGTTAATAAATGTATTTAAAAAAGCTGTTTTTGATACATTGGTGATTTAGTCCAATTCGCTTTACCAAACCAAATACTGTTATCACATGAAGGTCATGCACAGTGGGCTGTGCATGGGTGACTGTTTATATGAAAACTGTGTGTGGAAAACCATTCATTCACTTAACATTTTTCAGCTTTGAGAAAGACTCAAAATACTTTAACCAGTTCTCAAAAAATTCAGGTTGTTAATTGCAAAGCCTGTTTTCTTAATCCTTAACAGAAAACTATTCCATAAACACCAAGTTTGTCAGTAGCATCAGTTTCAATACATCTAGAATCTAATCCACTGTCACTCCACTTCTCCAACCAGCTTACGTGAGCAGTCTCAGCTCATGTCAGCATCACCCCCTCCTCCACCCTCCTCCTCCTGCAGGAAGCGGCTTGGCCCTCTCTCTTGCCTCCAGTGGTTCTCAAACTGCTGAAGCAGGATCGCAGGAGAGCTGCTTAGTCAGTGCTGGCCTGATGCATGCTTTTGCATTCTAACTGGTTCCCAATGTTGCTGACGGGCCCACCCTTTCACAATGACAGGGCTGCCTAATTGAAATGCCAGGAGAATCAATACACCATTTCGTGAAAAATTCATGTACACACACATGCACAAAATGGGTTGCACAATTTAAAAAAAAATTTTTTTTTTTACAGGTTCCTAGGTCTCTGTAGACTCCCCACCCCCCAGGACTCGGGTCCCTCAGGTTAATCCCTGACCCAATGGAACTGGAGAAGCAAAAATGTGAGGAATAAGGAGACGATGGCGTCCTGTACTGTGCTATCAGACCTCAAATTCACACTCACATGATCACTTGGGGGAATCTCCTTAAAGTGCAGAATCTGACTTGGTAGGTCTGGGGTCAGTGGAGCGGGTGATTCTGCTCTTTCTCATAAGCTTCCACGTCTGGTTCTGCTGGCCACGGAACGCCCCGAGAGGCCAGGTGGTAGAGGGTATGCACAGTCACAAAACAAACTGCACAGAAGTGCTGTCAAGTGAAAACGTGTGATATGGGACACCTGTGCAACTCTCAATGTTCTAATAAAGGGTGAAAACGTTAATAATATAGCCAAAACATTTCAGTGTTTAACAACGAATGAAATAGTTTACATTCTTATTTTGTACTAAGGCATGCTCAGCACGCCTCTCCTTGGACTAGCCATATTCCACATAGGTGGCTGGTGACCACCCCACGTTGGACAGCAGCTTTTTTTTTTTTTTTTTTCCCAAGTGTGTGTCCTCATCAGCACCTTCCTTGTAGTTAATATTCAACCTGCAAATGTGTATTAGAGGACCTTGATATGTGGGAGTCAATAAAAAATCGGTCTTTGTTAGAATTTGAGCTTTGAGGGTAGGCTCATGCCTGGTCTGTTTCAGAGTCAGATTTGAGAGGATAGCAATCCAGTCAAGTTCTAAGTTGGCATTTCAATTAGGCAGCCCTGAAAAAGCTTCCTAAGATTCCGTTTGGCTCAGTTTGAAAACCTGTATCTCGTGCAATTTTTCAACCTTATACTGGAAAGGAAGCTGAGACCCAGAGCTGCTCAAAGTCAATGTCCATGCTCCTAACATGGTTCTCACAGCCCCTTAAGACTGCAGGCGGCTTTATAACGACTTGCAAAGACAAGAAATAGCTCCTATTTAGGAATAAGGCAGAGTATAACTGAAGGTGGAGAATGCTAAGGAAATTTAGGAGACGGTATAGACATTTTTAGTTCATTCATGTAACAAGTACTTGCGCCCTAGCTGATTTGGCTAACAGGATCGAGTCTGTGGACTGAAGGGTCCCAGGTTCGATTCCGGTCAAGGAGAGATGCCCAGGTTGCAGGCTTAATTCCGTGCAGGAGGCAGCTGATCAATGATTTTTCTCTCATTATTGATGCTTCTCTTCCTCTTCCTCTCTGAAATAAAAAATACATTAAAGCACGCACATACAAATACTTGAGCTATATCATCTGTGTTCACTGCTGATCATATGATGAGCAAAATAGACATATTTGCTGTCCCTTTAGAATTTACATTCTAGTAAGGGCATTAATGAAAAGCCACATTCTTCCCATATATCAGAGTTAGGTGGGAGCAAGAATACATACAAGACTACAGGATACAGAGAAAGTATAACACAGGAGAAGAAAGGATAAGGAAAGGCTTAAAAAATTATATGTAAGCTGAATCTTGAAAGTTGAATAGATGTTAGCTAGAGAATGTCATTTGAGGACCCATTGCTGATTTGGGGTGAACCATTCCCCCCCCCCCCCCACATTTGTATTCTGAACATTTTAAAATTAAAATGAGAAAAATAAGTCTTGCCCTGGACAGATGACTCAGTGGGGTTGGAGCATTGTCCAGGACACGTACAAGAAGCAATCGATCAATGTTCCTCTCTCACACTGATCTTCCTCTTTACAATAAAAGCATCAGGGAGGATTAAAAAGGAAAAAAGAAAAAAGTCTTCTCTAGAGAAATCAACAGGGCTAAGCGTTACGGGAAAGTAATTTTTTTTCCAAGTAATGAGAGAGCTGACAAGGTTAAAGAGCCAGCAGACTGGAAGAGGGGTTGAGGGTGATGCCACGGGGATAAAGGCTCAAGGGACTACAGAGGGAAAGAATAAAGGAGTGAGTGAGTGGGAAGACCACTCTTGAGAAGTTTGTTATTGATCAGGAGAAGAAAAACAGACTGAGGGAAATTATATTTAGGACAAGAAGAAAATAGGAGTGACAGGATCTTGGCAGCAAAAGATATTCCTCCTGGTCCTCTTTATTAAACAACAAATTAGACATCCATTTGTGGGCAAAGGTGCCTTGGTAGTAGGCCCGGTTAGGTTTGGACAAAATGAATAAAATGTATCTTCTCTGTTTATAAAAGAATGGGAACCCAGT